GTCCCTCCTGCTCAGGAAGTAGAGATCAAGAGCATCTTGGAGGGTTGGGAAGGGGGCTCAACTGGTAGAGTGCTTGTCTTACATGCATGAGGCCCTGGGTTCGAGTCCTCAGCAACACATAAAAACAGAAAAGGCTTGAAGTGGGCATTGTGGCTCAAGTGGTAGAGTGCTTGTTGTGAGCTGAAGAGCTGAGGGACAGCACCCAAGCCCAGAGTTCAAGCCCGTGACTGACAAAAAAAAAGAGGATCTCAGGCAAAAAGTTAGACCCTAGGCTGGGAAGGTGGCTCAGTGGTTGAGTGCTTGTCTTACATGCATGAGGTCCTGGGTTCCATTTCTCAGCACCACATAAGCAGAAAAAGCCAGATGTAGCACTGTGGCTCAAGTGGTAGAGCACTAGTCAAGAAGAGCTGATGAACTGAGGGACAGTGCCCAGGTCTAGAGTTCAGGCCCCATGACTGACCAAAAAAAAAAAAAAAGGCTGAGATATGAAGATGGAGAGAATTGGGCTGGGCGCCAGTGGCTTACGCCTGTAATCCTAGCTACTCAAGAGGCTGAGATCTGAGGATCACAGTTCAAAGCCAACCCAAGCAGGAAAGTCCATAAGATTGTTATTGCCACTGAACTACTAAAAGCCGAAAGTAGAGTTGTGGCTCAAATAGTAGTAGAGTGCTAGCTTTGAGCAAAAGAAGCTCAGGTCAGTGCTCAGGCCCTGAGTTCAAGCCCCAGGATGAGGACGTACACGAAAAAATGAAAAAAGTAAGCTGGGTGTGGCTCATACCTGTAATCCCAGCTCCTAGGGAGGTGGAGGTGTGAGGATCAAGGTCCCAAGCCATCCTTAGCAAAAGTGTTAGACCCTGTCTGAAAAACAAACAAAAATCCAAAGGACAGGGGCGTTGTTCAAGTGGTAGAGAACTGAGAGGCTCAGTAATTTGCCTGTGGTCCCCCAGCATGGCCACAGCAGAGCCCGGGCTTGGGAGCTCACTCCTGGGCTAATCTGACTTACCCCTGTCCAAGCTTCTTGGGTCTTCTTTCCTCCCAGGAAGGCTTTTAGAGGTCCCCTGGGAAGAGCATAGCTGTCATCACACTGAGGCAGAGCCAGGGTTGAAGCCAGCCCAGGCCCTTGACTCTCAGCGCTTCGGCTCCAGTGAGCTCCACGAATACCTGTGCACCCCATGCCTCCCTGTGGCAGGGGGTGCTTCTGGCTTCCACATGTACACTGACATGCTAGAGAGCCTCTCCTCAGGAAAGGGTGATTGTGGGCCCAGCCAGTGAGCCCCAAAGAGGGTAACACACAGAAACCTACTAGTCCTTCCGGCCGCATCAGGTGGGGCCTTGCCCTTGGCGGACCGCTGCTGGGGTGAGGCTCACCTGGCCCCGCCACTGTGCTTCTCATGTCAGCGTCGGGGCCTTCGTGAAGACCTGGTTGCCCTTCGTCCTCCTCCTGGGTATCATCCTCACCGTCAGCCTGGTCTTCAACCTGCGGTGATGGCTGCCAGACCACGCCCCTCTGCTCACGGACCCCTTCCCCTCACTCCCATGACAGGGTTGCTACAGGGGGGCTGGGCTGGGCTGGATAGAAAGCTAGGATGGGTGCTTCCTGTGTCTCACTGGCTGCTCAGAAGTCCCCTGCTCTTCCCCGGGGCTCAGGCCCTGCCCTGTGGCCCCTCCTCCTCCTCCAGGAGGGCCTTACTTCCCTCACAGCGCCTGCCACTGCCACACCCAGGGCCGGGTGCAGACAGGGAGGGTGGGGACCCCGGCCCACTGCACTTCGGTGGTAGCTGTGTCCCCAGGGCGGTGGGGTGGGACCCCAAGGTGTGCACCTAGCTCCCCGGAGGCTTCCCAAGGCCTCCTTTGGTTGTTTGCCTGAGCTACCCTAGGGTACTTGCACTCCATCTTCCGGTGTCCGCTAGCCTGGCAGCACCCATCCCCTACTCCTAGGGCTTCCAACACTTAGGCCCAGCCCAGGTGGGGTTTTGTGCTGAACATGGCGGTGTGTGAGTGGCCTGTCAGCGGCCAGTGCCATCGGAGAGTGGAGGGAGCTGCTGTCAGAAAGGGCCCTGTGCTGCCCTCCTCTCCCCCTGCTCCACGGGCTCCTCTAAGGGGCTTCCTGGCAGGAAATAAAAGTTTTGAGTCTCTGAGTGCTGCCTGTCATTGTTTCATCGCCCCCCCCCCGCCCCTGTATCCCCCAGTCTTACCTTGGTGGTGGCCTTGGCGAGTCTGCCCCCAGGAAGAGATGTGGTTACCAGCACCATGGTTGAGTCTGTGTCCAGTGCCGGCAGCATAGGGGTTGCCAGTATCTCTCAGATGTATGCTGTCCCATTCCCCTGCCGGTGTCCCATCGCTCCGTCTCCAGTCTGCGCTGGAGGCAGGGAAGTGTCAAGAGCTGTCCCATGATTCCTGCAAGAACTTGGCAGCAGAGTTGAGCTTGGAGCCTAGCAGGCCAGATCCCTGGGCCTGCCTCACCGGGCGCTGTCAGCCCTTGATCCTGCCTCTCATGTTGCCCACCTTCCTTTGTCAGTCAGGGACCACTCTCCTGCCGTTACCAAAACCCTGCAGGCTCCTCACTGCTAACATATCTAGGGGTGCTCGCCCACCTGTGGACCTGTTGAATCGGGCTGCTTTCCTGTGACCCTGCTGAAAGGCTGCTTCTGTAGTTCGTGGCAGAGTACTCACTTAGCACATGTGAGGCCTTGGGGTCCATCGCCAGTACCACATAGGAAAGCCCAAAAAGTCACTGAATGCTTACTGTGTGCCAGGCTTTATAATAAAGGGCTTTTCCTCACAACAGCCCTAGAAGGTAGATACCATGACCCCATTCTTCAGCTGAAGACATGAACACCGGGCATAGAGTAGGAAGAGGAGCAGTGGTTCAAACCCAGCAGCCTGGCCCTAGTCCCCTGTCCCCAGTCACCCTAGAAGGTGGCCTTGCTGGGGCCCAAGGAGACAAATTGGGGCAGTTCCTTCAAAAGACATTGTGTTTGACTAACAAGAAGGTAGTGGCGAGGTGCTGGTGGCTCACCCCTGTAAATCCTAGCTACTGAGGATTAAGGTTCAAAGCCACGGGGGTGGGGGGGAAGGGGGGGACTGGGAAGGTGGCTCAGTGGTAGATTGCTTGCCTTGCATACATGAAGAGCCAGCCCGGGGTTCGGTTCCTCCGCACCACATAAGCAGAAAAAGCCTGAAGTGGCACTGTAGCTCAAGTGGTAGAGTGCTAGCCTTGAGCTGAAGAGCTGAGGGACAGCGCCCAGGCCCAGAGTTCAAGCCCCATGACCAACAACAAAAAGCCAGCCCTGGCAGGAAAGTCTGTGAGACTCTGATCTCTAATAAACCACCAGAAAACGGGAAGTGGCACTATGGTTCAAGCGGTAGAGCACTCGCCTTGAGCTGAAGAGCTGAGGGACAGCACCCAGACCCAGAGTTCAAGCCCTATGACCAACCAAAAGAAAAGAAGGTAGAATAGATGCTGAAGGTGTAAAGCCTTCCAGCTGTCCAGTGAGACAGCTGCCGTCCCTGTACTACAGAGAGAACACGCGGCTGGTGGAGGCTTGAGCAAGGCCAGATGATGTAGAACTCAGGTCTGCTGGCTTTGGGGACCCTGCCTCCACCAGGAGCCTGGAGGGCAGAGGCCAGCCTGGAGTGAGCATGGCTGTGAACCTGTAGCTGGGCAGGAGCATGAGAGACAGAAAGGGAATTAGCCAGACTCTAAGGGCATAAGAGATGAAAAGAGCCAGATTTACTGTGGCATCTGAGGGTCAGGCTTGGTTGGATAGTCCAGAGAGGGGACCAGCTGTGCAGCCCAGGCCTGTGTGAATCAAAGTGGCTGGGTGTAGAGGTCTGGCCATGTTCAGAGACTTCGTGGCTGGCTGTTGATGCCTCCCAAACCTGAGGAATGACAAGTGCCATGTTCAAACAGCCCTCGGACAGCCTGAGAGAGAAGAGCAGAGGAGGCCAGTGTGACAGCAGAAGCCAGGGAAGGCTTCCAGAAGAGGCTGGACAGATGATGGGGCAGGGAGGGGGCAATCCTCGAGCGCCAGGGGCAGCTTACGAAAGTGCTGACTTGGAAATGAAGTTTCAGGTGGAGCCAGGTGCCCGTGGTCCATGCCTGCCATCCTAAGCTCTGTGAGCGGCTGACATTGAACTACTGTTCCAAGCTGTCTTGCATATGTGAGGTCCTAAGTTAAAACCTCGGTATTGGAAAACAAAACAAGCCTTTGGGGGTGACCTCTTCTGCCCAAGAGCAGAATACTGTCCCAGAGGTTCAGCCTCAAAGCCAATGTCCCTAGAGGCAGAATGCGAACTCAGGAGTTCTCCATAGATGAGGGTTGAGGCTTTTACCTTGAAGAGTCCAGTTCTCAAGAGAATGTGACCAAGGGTGACAGAGTTGCTAGTCTGTGGCCAGAGTGTTGGTGACACACGGGGCAGTGGGTGCTGAGATGGCTGTGGGCACTGGACTATGGGTTGGAGAGGGGATGCCTGGCACCTCCTACGTGCCAGCCTGTAGCGGGCACTTGCATTTCTCTTTTGCCAGGCTTCTTGCATTCTGCTATCTAGTTTGCATGGGAAGAAATGGCAGCTCAGATTGGTTAAGAGACCTGCTCAAGGTCACATAGTGGCAGAGCAGGGATCTGCTTAGGGTTGCATAACTGCAAAGTCTTCGATCCCTCCATTACACTAGTTCTTAGAAGTGTCTGGCTTTGCTTTCAAAGCAATTTCCTATTAGCAACTCCCTGGGCAGAGTGGGGCTTCTGCCCATTCTGCAGCCCGGCCAGCTGAGGCCCTGTGCTGCCTCTGTAGAGTCAGGTGGGCCTGTTCTAGTTACAGAGTGAGTGGGGCCTCACTGACTCACCCAATCAGCTCTAGGTTCTCTGAAAGCTGCTGTGGGGCACACCCTGGGAGCCATGGTCCAGGCCCGGTTTTGCACCAGGCCCTGCAGAGGTGTTTCCTCCTCCTCCCCTTTTGAGCCCTCCCCCTCCTCCTGCTGGCTGGGGCAACTGCTTGGCTGGGCGAGTCAGCCTTCCTCACTGCACTTCTGGTCCCTGAGACTCCTGCTTAGGAGGGCTGGAGTCACCCGCGAAGGGGTCCATCCATTCCCTACTGGACCCCTGCAGGTAACACCTCACTGTCCGCTCTCCTGCTGGGGCCCAGGGTGGGCAGGCACTGCTGCCTGGCATCTTGGCCACCTTTTGGCACCTAGGGGTGGGGGAAGCAGGAGCATGTCTAAGGCTGGGCTGGCAGGACAGATGGACAGACTTCTTTTACCAAAGGGTCTGAAAAGTGCCTAAAGAGGGCAGAGAGGCCAAAACACTGTGTCTGCCTCTGGTAGAAGGGGCTCTGGGAAGGGGGACACCCGGCTTGGATGCCCATGGCCCAGCCCAGAACACGAGCAGGCTCAGTAGTTCTATTTCCTCCCCCCACACCCCATATACCTGATGAACCCCAGAGTGCACACTACAAAACCCTGTCCGGTGTGGCAGACAGCCTAGAAGGAAAAGCACACACCCACAGAGACTGTCACCCCACTAGTCAGCCATTTGGCATCACACACACACACACACACAGCATGCATACTCAACAGAGACAGAAGCTCTGACATACCCTGCCACCAAAGAGCCCAAAACTGTTCAGGACAGCCAGCACCTTAGGCACAGCAGAAGTGCAGGGAAGTTGTAGCCCTTGCACACACGGGCATTTACATGGCTTTGTGCGTGTGCAGACATGCAGAAGTCTGGGGCCCTGAAGCAGGGCAGCAGGGGAACGGCTCCATTTAGACATTGACTCAGCTGGGAGGGGACGAGACAGGGCACATCCAAGACCTATTTATGAGTTGTCATCTCCACACCTCACCCCTACCTGAAGCCCTGGCATGGGGGTAGGGGAAGGGAGGAGAGACCCCTCAGGGGGCTCGGTCCAAGGTCAAACAGAGTGCTGGGTCCCTTGCCACGTCCACACGCCCCTCTTGGCTGGCGAATGTTTTCCTTCCGGAATCACTGTGGTGCCTGGCTAGTAGCTGCTTTGCCAGCCAAGGCTTCCAGCCAGGTGTGTGGGGAGGAGGGGGCTGAGCTATTTGGCCAGTGTGGAAGGCTCAGAAGCTCCTGGTAAGGGGCAGGCATGGCGGTGGGGGCACCCAGGGTTGGCAGCCTGATGGGAGTGGGTGCTGCGGTTACTCTGGGGAGAGGAAGTTGCCTCAGACAGGAAGGCCAAATGGGCCAGGGCAGGGTGGAGGTGAAGAGGGGTAGGTGGGAACAGACCCAGGCGAGGGGATGTGCAGAGGTGTATGGTGTGTGCATGCACAGGTATGTGTATGTGCATGCACACGTGCTTACACTAACTGCATGGAGGGCAGGGTGTTTTGAGGGGAATGGACTATTCCTAGCTTCAAGGAACTCACAACCCAGTCACAGGAGTAATGAAAGTGGGCAAAAGTCAGGGCTTTGTGTATTTGGGAATGTGTATTTGTCCCCAGATTTATGTGTGTGTGGATGGTCTGTCTCCTTTGTGTGTGCACACCGTGTGCACGTTTCAGAACAACCCATGACAGCTCTTAGGCATGAGTCCATGCCTGCGTCTGCACAGGTCCCTTCCTGGGGGACAAGTGTGCAGGTGTGCACCTGCCTGTCTTTATACAGTGTACATCGGTGACCACAGGTACTTGTGCCTCCATGGCCAGTGTGCGCATCTGCCTGAGTGTGCTGTCTCGCCGTCCATCTCAGAGTGTGTGCATGTATGTCTGTACTGTGTTTGCTTGAGGAGAAGAGGGCAGTAGTTCCAGAATGTGCTGTGGATCTGTTTAGAGACTGACCTGGCCCTTGGTCTCCTCCAGGAAGCTACGTGTGCCCATCTGGGGCACAGCCCCAGCTAATGCCCCAGGGGGGCCACCCATCCTAGGAGAGGACTTGGGCCCTGCCCTCCCTCCCCATGGCACATGGGCCAGAACCTGAGGCCGAGGGGCTGCTGGATCTCAGCTTCCTAACAGAGGAGGAGCAGGAGGCCATTGCCACTGTCCTCAGACGAGATGCCCGCCTACGCCAGCTGGAAGAGGGGCGAGTCAGGTGAGCCAGGCGCCAGGAAGAAGGGGCCTCAGGCCTGCAGAGGCTTGGTAGCTCCCACCCTGTCTGTCTCTACTAACATGATGCCATCTGATGGCTGGGTAACTCTCGAGTTCGTCTTTTGTTTTGTTTTGTTGTGGGTCGTGGGGCTTGAACTCTGGGCCTGGGCGCTGTCCCTGAGTTCTTCAACTCAAGGCGAGCACTCTACCCCTTGAGCCACAGCGCCACTTCCGGTTTTCTGGTGGTTGATTGGAGATAAAAATCTCACAGACTTACCTGCCTGGGCTGCCTTTGAATCATGATCCTCAGATCTCAGCCTTCTGAGTAGCTAGGATTACAGGCGTGAGCCACCAGTACCTGGCTTCTTGATTTCATCTTTTGGTCACCTCTGCCCTTGGCCTGCTCAGAACCTCTCAGGGTGGTTTTACCTGCTTCCTTTCCAGCCTCCCTGCTTCCAGGCCTGTCCCTCTGGTCACTCACTTTGGGACCAGACAATACTTGTATTTAATATCCTGTTGAGGGTCTGGGAATGTGGCTTAGTGGTAGAGCGCTTGTCTAGCATGCATGAAGCCCTGTGTTTGATTCCTCAGTACCACATAAACAGAAAAGGCCAGAAGTGGCGCTGTGGCTCAAGTGGTAGAATGCTAGCCTTGAGCAAAAGAAGCTCAGAGACAGTGCCCAGGCCCTGAGTTCAAGGCCCAGGACTTGAAAAAAAAAAAATATATATATATATACATGGATGTATATATCTTGTTGAAACCTCCCTTGGAGGGAGCTACTCCTGGACGTGACTCACAAGCCTCCCTGCTTGGCCCCTGAAAGCCTCTTCCCATCTCATCTTTCCTGGGGACCTGGGAAGGTGGCTCAGTGGTAGAGTCCTTGTCTTGTATGCATGAGGCCCTGGGTTCGATTCCTCAACACCACATAAACAGAAAAATCCAGAAGTGGCGCTGTGGCTCAAGTGGTAGAGCGCAAGCCTTGAGCTGAAGAGCTGGGGGACAGCGCCCAGGCTCAGAGTTCATGCACCACAACTGGCCAAAAAAAAAAATCATCTTTCCTGTGAAATACATGCACCAAAGCAGAGGAGCACAGGAGCCACAAACAGTGGCTGAAGACAGAGAGACACTTGGACAATTTCCGGGACCCTGAGCACCACTTTCCTCAGCTAAAATAGTGCTGAAGCCAGGCACTGGTGGCTTATGCTTACAATCCTACCTAGCTACTCAGAGGGCTGAGATCTGATCATCACAATTTGAAGCCATCCCAGGTCAAAAAAAAGTTTGCGAAGACTCTTATCTCCAACTAACCAACAGAAAATAAAATAGGTCTGAAGAGTCTTTGCACAGAATTAAGGATTATGCAAGTATAGTCCATAATAATCAATGATCAATAATCATCAGAAACTACTCAAATATTCCCTCCTCTAGGAAGCCCTCCTAGATTCCCACAACAGAGCTGGCCTATCTTGTATTCTTTTTTCTTATCTTTTTTTTTTTTTTTTGGTTGGTCAAGGGGTTTGAACTCTGGACCTGGGCACTGTCCCTCAGCTCATCAACTCAAGGCAAGTGCTCTACCATTTGAGCCACAGCACCACTTCTGGTTTTCTAGTGGTTAATTGGAGATGAGTCTCATGGACTTTCCTGCCTGGGTTGGCTTTGAACCACGATCCTCAGATCTCAGCCTCCTGAGTAGCTAGGATGACAGGCATGAGCCACCACCGCTCGGCTTCTGTCTTGTGTTCTTTCTACACGTACCTCATCATAAAGTACTTCTGTCTTGGGCTGGGAAGGTGGCTCAGTGGTAGAGCGCTTGCCTTGCAAGCCTGTGACCCTGGGTTCGATTCCTCAGCACCACATAAGCAAAAAGAAAAAAGCCGGAAGTGGGCTGTGGCTCAAGTGGTAGAGCGCTAGCCTTGAGCTGAAGAGCTGAGGGACAGTGCCCAGGCCCAGAGTTCAGGCCCCACGACCAGACCCAAAAAAAAAAAACAAGATAAAGTACTTCTGTCTTTTGGATTCTGTCTCTCCAGCAGTCTGAGCTCCTGCATTGCAGGGGTCAGGTCTGATTTACTGTTGAGTTCCTGGTACCAAACTGGCACAGAGTGGGTGGTAGGAATATTCCTCAGTGGTGACAGCCACGCCCTTTGGTCTCCTCCAGCAAGCTCCGGGCCTCACTAGTAGACCCTGGTCAGCTGAAGATCCTGACAGGAGACTGGTTCCAAGAAGCACGCTCTCAACGGCACCATCATGCCCATTTTGGCTCTGACCTTGTCCGAGCTTCTATCCGCAGGAAGAAGAGCTCCAGGGGTAAGAAGAGAGAGCACTGGGGATAGGGAGAGGGCCCCATACTGTATACCTTCCAATGGGTGCTATTCATCCCTGGGCTATAGGTGGCCATTGGGCATCACCAAGGGCCTCTCCTTGGGCTGGGGGTAGGGGGTCACAGTCAGACTTCCTGAGAATGAAGTTTCAAAAACTTCTCACCTGGGCCTAGGAGACCAGGCTCTGGGCAGTGATGGGGAGACTGAGGCTGAGGCTTCTGGGAGAGAGGCTGAAGAGGAGCCAGAACTCAGGTGAGGATGCACTAGGGAGGGGGCAGGTGGCTTCTAGTATCTAGCCCTCTCCCTTGAAAATCCCTTCTCTTTCCTCCTAGGAAAGATGAGGCCCCTGGACAGAGGCGCAGTGAGACCCAGGTGAGCATCTGCTCCTAGTGCCTCCTCAGGATGAGTGTGCTGGGGAACCAGGAGGCCTGAGACACACTCTTTCCCTGCTCTGGGCCTCAGTTTCCCTTTGGCCAAGTGGTAGCATGGACCCAGCCATGGAACCCCCTAAATCCAGCGAGTAAGAGTACATAGGTGTGAGGTGGATGAGGCTCAGGAGCAGGGAGTCAGGCCAGCCCATCCGGAGGGGCAGGCCCTGGGATGACAGGGTGTGAAGTACAGGCCAGACTGGTCCTGCAGCTGGTTGCCAGCCCTGCCCTGAGGGTTGCTCTAAATCTGAAGCTGGAATAGCCAAGCTGGATTCTCTGACCTCTGACCTTGGCATGACCTTTGCCCCTTTCCCCACTGGCACCCACTGTGATCTCTACCCCTTGATTTCTTCAGGAACCTGGTTTCCCCTCACCATATGCCTCCCCAAAAGCTTCAGGTCATGAGAAGAAGCCCCAGGACCAAGAAGGTGAGAGGGCGCAATGAGAGGTTGTGGGGATCTGGGGCGGCTGGTAGGGACCCCAGCCGCCAGACTCATCTTCCCTCTCCCGCCTTAGTCGCCCCTGGGGGACTCCTGGCCCACACTGGGGCCTGGGTCTGCAGATCTCCGGGGTTCGCTGGGGCACGGGGTGGGGGGCGCGGGCTCGCTGGCTCACAGCCCGTGCCCCGGCCCCGCTCCAGCCCCCAGCCCCGGGGGCCCGCAGGTGCAAGTCCCGGAGGCGGATCCGGAGCTGGAGCCCGCGCCCGGGGCGGAGCCGCGGCCCCCGACAGCCCAGGTAGGCCGGAGCGGACGGCGGCTGCTCCCAAGACCCGGAGCGGATCATGGAGGGGCGTGCCCCTTCCCGGGGCTGCCAGCCGTCGGCTGTGAGCAGCGCGGCCCGGGGAGGGGCGGCGAAGGAGGGGGCGCCCCCGTCACTGGCCCCCTCTGCAGACCGAGCAGGCCCCTGAGATCCTGGAGAACGGGGAGGAGACCCCAGCACTCGAGCCCTCACTCAACCGCATGCTCAGCAGCAGCTCTTCTGTGTCAAGCCTCAACTCCTCCACGGTGAGGGGGGGGTGAAAGAGAGAAACCGGGGTACCAGATCGGCCCGGCCTGACCCCGCCCTCACCCCAACCCGCCGCCTGGAGGTGCCCTTTACCTCTCCCCATCGCCCTGCGCCCCCCAGCCCCAGCCCCGACGTGAGCCCCACACCCCCGGGCCGGGCCTGACCTCCCTCCCGCTCCTGCAGCTGAGCGGCAGCCAGATGAGCCTGGCGGGGGAGGTGGACGCGGGTGCCGTGCAGGTGCGTGGCTCCGTGCACTTGGCGCTGCACTACGAGCCGGGCGCCGCCGAGCTGCGCGTGCGCGTGATCCAGTGCCAGGGCCTGGCAGCCGCTCGACGCCGCCGCTCCGATCCGTGAGTGCCCAGCGGGGCGGCGGCTGGGAGGGGGGGTGCCCCCGCCATGCCCTGGCCTCGGGGGTCACTGGAGGGCACTCAGCACGAGGCCTGGCACATCTCCAGGTCCCAAGTGCTCAGGGTGGTGGCTGGGGACCCACCCCCACCCCAGGGGTGGAGAGAAGCCTCTGGAAGGCCCCTTAAACCCCTAGCCTTCACCCTCCTTGTCCCCAGCTACGTCAAAATCTACCTCCTCCCGGATAAGCAGAGCAAACGCAAGACGGCAGTGAAGAAACGGAATCTGAATCCGGTGTTCAACGAGACTCTGCGGGTGAGGCTCCGGGAGGAGGGAGCCGCGGGGACGCCCCTTCCCGCAGGCCTGGATGGCGGGAGCCGCCGTGCCCGGGCCTCCAGTTTTCCATCCTGCCCGGGCGACGGCAGGGAGACCCCGTTTGCGCCTTGTTTCCCAGCGCAGCCATTTTTGCAGCCATATTTTTTAGCATTGCCATTCTAGACCCCCATGAATGCCCTTCGGGGTCCCCCAGAAATCCATCCTGCCTGGGGCGTGGGAGAACCAGCTCCATCAACACCGATGCCAGGGCACCAGCGGTGCCCCACTAAAGCGCACCGCCTGTCCCCAGTACTCCGTCCCGCAGGCCGAGCTGGCGGGCCGCGTGCTGAGCCTGTCCGTGTGGCACCGCGAAAGTCTGGGCCGCAACGTCTTTCTGGGCGAGGCCGAAGTGCCCCTGGACACGTGGAACTGGGACTCTGAGGCCACCTGGCTGCCCCTGCAGCCCCGGGTAAGGCAGCCGGGCCCGCGTGGGGTCATCGGAGCCCGTCTTGCCCACGGACCCCGCATTCCACACACACAGCCTCCCCTCTGCCTTGCAGGCCTAGCCCTCCAGGAGCTGGCTGGCTCTTTCCACCCATCCCTCTGTGGAAACCACGCCCCTGCGCCCCGCCCACTCATCTAGCCACACCCCCTTGGTGTCTGAAGACTCCACCCCTTGGCGGCCCTTTCGCTTGGGCCTGCCGGTGACTAGCCCACCTCTGGCTCCCCAGGTACCCCCTTCCCCCGATGAGCTTCCTAGCCGCGGGCTGCTCTCCTTGTCCCTTAAGTACGTCCCTGCCGGCTCCGAGGGTGAGTAACCGTCCCACAAGAAGCCAAACTGGTTGGGCCCTGGGAGACGGGGGGACCCTGGTCCCACGGAGGAGGAGGTGGCCTGAGCTTGAGGAGGTGACTCTGCCTCGCAGGCGCGGGGCAGCCTGTGAGCGGGGAGCTGCACTTCTGGGTGAAGGAGGCTCAGGACCTCGTACCGCTGCGCTCCGGATCTCTGGACACATACATACAATGGTGAGGGGCTCCAAGGCCTGGCTGTGTCTTCCTGCTCCTAATCTCCACTCAGTCCCTTCCCTACATCCCCGATTGCCCACTGAGCAGGGGGAGCAGGGGTGAAAAGAACGCCGTGTATGGTCTGAAATCAGGGAAACTGAAGACAACTTTAAGGAGCTGCATTGCAGGGTGACTGGAGGGCGCCTACAGGACTTACTGTAGGACTTACTGGAGAGCTGAGGGACCACCGTGGCCCTCAGTGAAGAACCTGAAAGGCCAGCCTGTGGAGCTGGGCCCTGAACTTGTAGTTGAGGGGTTTTTTGTTTTGTTTTCTTCTTTCTAGAGATCAAGCCCAGGGCCTCACATGGGCTAAGTATATGTTCTCTAAGTATATGTTCTCTATATGAGCTGTTCCTCCAGCTCCACTGATTTTCAAAGTGAACTCTGGGGCTCTCTGAGGGAGCTTCTCCACTCTGGGGGAGTGAAGTGGATGTAGGCCTATCAGCGTCTGGATTCCCAGTCTATTCTCTCAGCTACTGTACTTTAGGGTAATGGTTGGTTTTTACAGAAAGGGTTCTGAGGTGTTGGAAATTAATTGGCCTGGGTGGGGTGATATAGCAGGGAGTCAGAGCTGTCATCCAGCAGTCCTGTAAACAGCTGTCAATTTCAAGGCAAGAGACCTGAAAGTCCGCTGATCGCAAAGCTTGTGGGGCAGTGAAGTCTGGATCCCCGGTCTCAGGCTGGAGTGAGGACCCTCTCTAGGGAGAAGGGGCAGGACTCAGTGACTAGCTGGAGCTAGAGGGTATGAGAGGGTAGTCATCTGATGCCAGGCCCCCTCCTCTCCAGCTCTGTACTGCCTGATGACAGTCGGGCCAGCCGCCAACGTACAAGGGTGATTCGACGCAGCCTTAGCCCAGTGTTCAACCACACCATGGTTTATGATGGCTTCGGTCCTGCTGACCTGCGACAGGCCTGTGCTGAGCTCTCCCTCTGGGACCACGGGGCCCTGGCTAGCCGCCAGCTGGGGGGCACACGCCTCAGCCTAGGTACAGGTAAGCAGAGCAGGGCCTTGAGGGAGCTGATCTGGGAGGCAGGGACTCAATTCATGGCCTTGCCCTTTCCTGAGCTCTTTCTACTGAGAACTGGGGGTGGTAGCAGGTTTTCCTTCAAGCTGCAGGGTCCAAGGTGACCATGCCTTCTACCCCTGCCCACCCACATCCAGGCAGCAGCTACGGGCTGCAAGTGCCCTGGATGGATTCCACACCCGAGGAGAAGCAGCTGTGGCAGACACTCCTGGAGAGGCCGTGTGAGTGGGTAGATGGCCTTCTGCCCCTCAGAACCAATCTGGTCCCCAGGGCATAGCTAGCCCTACCGAACGCCTCCCTGGCTCACCATCTCAGAGCCTGCCCTTGGTTAAAGTCAATAAAATCTGTCTCAAGGACAATAAGAGGCTGATGTTTGCTGGGCAGGGAGGTAAAGTGTTATAAGGAAGGAGCTGGGGGAGTGAAGGAGGCCAGATCTTTAAGGAAACACAGACACAGAGACCTCAAGAGGTTGTTCATTAGATACTCCCTATACATCTCTGAAGTTCAAAGACCAACATTTACATTTTGTTTAATAGTCTTTGGTTCTGAGTGCTGGGAAGGTGGCTCAGTGGTAGAGCACTTGCCTTGCATACATGAGGCCCTGGGTTCGATCCCTCCACATAAGCAGAAAAAAAAAAGCCAGAACTGGTGCTGTGGCTCAAGTGGTAGAGTGCTAGCCTTGAGCTGAAGAGCTGAGGGACAGCGCCCAGGCCCAGAGTTCAGGCCCCATGACTGGACCCAAAAAAAAAAAAAGTCTTTGGTTCTGGGTGCTAGTGGCTCATGCCTATAATCCTAGCTACTCAGGAGGCTGAGATCTGAGGATCGCGGTTCAAAGCCAGCCTGGGCAGGAAAGTCTGTGAGATTTTTTTTTTTTTGTCAGTACTGGGGCCTGAATTCTGGGCCTGGACGCTGTCCCTCAGCTCTTCAGCTCAAGGCTAGCACTCTACCACTTGAGCCACAGCGCCACTTCTTGCTATCTGTGAGATTCTAATCTCCAATTAACCATCAGAAAACTGGAAGTGGTGCCGTGGCCCAAACGGTAGTCTTGAGCTGAAGACCTGAGGGACAGCGCCCAAGCCCTGAGTTCAAGTGCCATGACCAACAACAACAAAAAAGGGTTGAGGCTGTGGCTCAAGTGGTAGAGTACCCGAGTTCAATCCCCAGCCCAGCGCACATACACAAAGAATTTGGATTTTAATTTGGGGATTGGGGTTTTAACTTATTGGTAGCGTGCTGGCTTAGCCAGCTCCAGGGCCTAGTTTGGTGGCCAACAACAAAAGGGAAGAAAAGAAGTCTTTGGTCATGTTTGCTGTGCTTGAGTGTTTGAGTCCCCTCACACACACCGATGCTACGCCTGGGCTCTGCCCTGGCTCCACCAGCCTGGCCTGTGGTTGTCCCCGGATCTTCAGGCAGGTGTGTCGGCAGTTGCTTGTATCTTCACAATCCATCTGTCGAGTCTTTCCTGCCTCTGATGTCTTCATTCAGCTTCTCGGGGCCCTGTGGTAACTAGCGTGGATCCTGTTCGCTGTGCCAAGATGGCTCTCCAGATTCGGCATACCATCCCTCCCCTGGGGAGTGTAACCAGTGTGGCTCAGCAGAGAAGGCACGGCTCTCCCTGGTAGCCACTATCAGCCTAATGCTGCTCTGACCCTAGGGGGTCTGGGTGAACCTAGGCGGGCTCATAGCTAGGGGCAGAGGAGAGCTAGTTAAGATCTGGCTGCCAGGAGACCTAGTGCATGGTCCTCCCTGGGGAAGCCGGTATATACCTGATTCGGGTATAGAGGAGGTCATCTCGAGTGGCAGAGGTGAGCAGAGCATGCAGGGTGAAGCTGTGGTTCAGCAGCTGGTTGTGGACCACGACCCACAGAAACAGGGAGAAATAAGATTCAGAAACATGTATCCAGGGGCTGGGAAGGTGGCTCAGTGGTAGAGCGCTTGCCTTGCATGCCTGAGGCCCTGGGTTCGATTCCTCAGCACCACATAAGCAAAAGAAAAGAAAAGAAAAAAGCCGGAAGTGGCGCTGTGGCTCAAGTGGTAGAGCACTAGCCTTGCGCTGAAGAGCTGAGGGACAGCGCCCAGGCCCAGAGTTCAGGCCCCACGACCGGACCCCCCCAAAAAAAGAAAGAAAGATATATCCAGAGATCTGGGTATTTCCTTCTACTACCTAAGAGCTAAGGCAGATCCACTTAACCCATCTAGACAATGGGAGGGGTGCAGTAAGAAGGACCTTTCCAGTTGTCTACTCAGGAGAATCAAGGTTCAAAGCCAGCCTCCAATTAACCACAAGAAAACAGGAAGTGGAGTTGTAGCCACAACTCAAAATGGTAGAGTGTTAGCCTTGAGCAAAAGAGCTCAAGGATAGCACCCAGGCCCTGAATTCAAGCCCCACGACCGAAGCAGGGGGGAAGAGTCCGGGAGGGGGGGAGATGGACAGAGATGGAGTGTTGGTTGGTGGGGGTCAGGGATGGCCAGCACACACATCCTCACCGTTTGGATGGTGCCTGAGTCCACACGTAGTTCCTGTAGCCACTGCACTAGGCCCTGGTCTGTGGGGAGAGAGGCTGTCAAGAAGTCAGATGAGCCTGAAATGCCTAGAGTGCTTCCTGCTAGGGGTAATCTTACATATCCCCTGATGTCTCGGCCAGGTCTGCTCACCAGTTCGCTCTGGCGCACAGGTACTGGTCTGGGCATTCACCCGCTGCAGGGCCCGGTGCAGCAAGGCCTGGCACTCCCGTTCCTTCTCCTCCAGGATTTCTCGCAGCCTGGTGGAGGCCAAGAATAGAATGAAGGAGCCAGTGTATTGAAGAATGTGCCGATTGTCTGGATACTTCCCTGGGGGGACCTTACCTGTTCGTCTCTGCTCTCAAGAGGCCCAGCTGCACTATCAGAGCTGGGGGCTCCTGCTTGGCTTCTGTGGGGAGCTGGCTGGGTGGAATCGGGGAGTCCTGCTGCCTCTGCTGGGCCTCTCTTTCTTTACTTAACTCCTCTGACCTCAGAGAGACGTCTTTCTTCTCTGTCTCTGCCAATCCAAGTGGGGTGAGATCAGACAGGGCGAGATGCTGGTTTGGACGCCCCCCCCTCCCCAGGTTCTAATAGTGAGGGTAGTTTAGGGGGAGAGAGCCCTGGGCTCTGGGCAGTGACTCAACAGGGCTGGTCTGAGAGGCTAACCGAAGTCACTTTCCCACGGGCTCCATCCCACCAAGCCCAGCCAAGCTGCTACCACCATCTGCATTCTGTTTGCCACGACCCCAGGCGCCACACCCTCGCCCCAGTAGGCTGGTGGACTCCAGCCAACCCAACCTCACCGGAGTCCAGCATCGCCAGGGTGGCCCGCACTGCACGGCTGAGCAGCGAGTCCAGCACGAACATCCAGTGTGGGCGGATCTGGCGCCTGCGGAGGATCTGCTTCACCTGAACAGCGAGAGAGGGTGTGGCAGAGGTCGCTGAGCCTCCCACAGAAGCGGGCCTTGCCTTAGAAAGATCTAGAAAGTTTTCTGCCTGAAGCAAGTGAGGTGGGAGGGCTTGGGGTCCAGGGAGGGGCTGGGCTGCTAGGACTGGCCAGACCAGCGTCTTCTTCAGAGAGGAGACATGGTGTCCTGGATCATTAAGTCCTTGCAAATTTCCAGCATAAGGATGATAGAACCCTGTCATCACGGAGCAGCCCTAACCCTGGGGAAGCTGTGTTCTCACCGCCTCCGGGAAGGCAAAGAGCGGCCCATGGAGAAGTGTAGGCTCAAGGCCCTCGGCTCGCAGCTGTGCTTGTAGCATCCCAAGTTCCTGGTTCAGCTGCCGGCGGTTGGGGGTGTGAATGTGTGCACCAAGGCAGCGCAACAGCTGTTCCACGTGATTCCTGCTCAGGTGGGAACCCTAAAAGACAGAAGGGTGGTCAGCAGTGTCCGCCCGGAGAGATACTGGTGGGTGGGGAGAGGCAATCAGCCACTGTGGACCACGGTCCACCACCAGGGGCCTCTGGGCAGCCACCCACCTGCTCCTGCTCCTGACACAGATTCTCTGCCAGCATGGGCAGCTCCTGCCCCAGCACCGCTGCCAGCATGGCCCGCCGCTTGCTCTCCTGGTGCAGAAGGCTCAGCCCTGAGCTCTCCTCTGGAGATGTGGGCTCCTCCGCTCCAGGCTCCTCAGGCACCCTGGGCAGAATGGGAAGAGGCCGAGGGAGGGCAAATAACATGCTCCAGCCACCGCTCACATAGAGTTGGAATCTGACTCTTTTTTGGTCAGTCGTGGGGCTTGAACTCTGGGCGCTGTCCCTCAGCTCTTCAGCTCAAGGCTAGCGCCACAGCCACAGCGCCACTTCCGGTTTTCTGAGTAGGTTATTGGAGATGAGAGTCTCACAAACTTTCCTGTCCAAGCTGGCTTTGAACCATGATCCTCAGATCTGTACCTTCTGAGTACCTAGGATTGCAGGCATGAGGCGCCAGAACCCGGTGGAATCTGACTCTTACTTTAATGTCTATCTCCCAGGAGTAATGAGATTAAATCCAGTGCTGAAGGTGAGGGCAGTAAGCACATGTCAGGGTGGCTGGGAGAACACAGGGAAGCATCAGATGCCCACTTTGCAAGTAGTCAAGAAGCCCAGGCCCCCAAGGCAAGACCAGGCAAAAGGAACCCTCCGCAGGGTCCTAGATCTCACCTTAGTTGGCTGGTGTCTCCATAGCTGAGGCAGCGTTTGGGGGGGCTGGGTGGGTGCTGGGAAGGTGCCTGAGGGCTTGGGAATGTCTGGGACTGGGTGGCAGAATCAGCTGCAGGAATGGGACCAGCCAGAGGGGCATCTGAGGGAGGGAAAAGCCGTCAGCCCCTGGCCTGCACAGCAACCCTGCCCGGATGGAAGGCAGCAAAGGCGGTCTCCGTTTACTTCCACAGCACCTGAGGGCCGCCGGGTGTGGCGGCGAGGAGAGCCAGGACTGCGGCTCCTCTTCCCTGGCTGCAGGAAGGGATCCTCCAGCAGTGCTTGGGCACTGGCTCGGACACAGGGGTCTGGCTCAAAAGTTCGGAGGAGGAAGGCTTTGGCCTCAGATGATAGAGAACTAGGCATTGGTGGATGCACCTTGTACATGCCCACCTGGGGAGAGGAGACAGGAAGGGAAAATACGAGTCAAGAGTTTTTTTGTTACCCTCAATCCTGGGGCTTGAACTTAGTGGCCTGGACACTGTCCTTGAGTTTCTTTTGCTCAAGGCTAGCACTCTACCACATGAGCCACAATGCCATCTCTGTTTTTTTCTACTTATGTGGTACTGAGGAATGGAGGTACTGAGGGCTTCATGCATGCTAGGCAAGCACTCTACCACTGAGCCACCTTCCCAGCCCAGGAGTCAAGATTATTACAGATGTGCCAGGCTAGGCCTGGCCCCATCTAATCCCCATGAGGATCTCACCTGAAACATGGCAGCCTGAGGACTCCCCAGCTCATGAAAGGGTGGGTGACCTGTGGCCATCTCAATCACAGTACAGCCCAGTGACCAGATGTCAGCTGCCTTCCCATACCCTCGAGGGCCCTGGTCAATGATTTCTGGGGCCATATACTGTAGAGTCCCTAGAACAAGAGCAGAGCAGCAATGCCCATCTGGGCTTTAGCACCAGAGTGAGGGGCCACCATCACCCTCTGGCTGCCTGTACCCATGCTTAGCTTATTATCCAAAACCCTTTCCATTGCCTACTTTGGTATTCAAACATCTGTGCTACCCAAAGGTCCATCACCTGCCAAGGCTCCATCATCATCGCTAGGCCGCATTGTCTTCACGGATTCCATCATATCATGTATCTAACGTTGAATCACACCCCATGTGCCACCACCCACTTCGGCCAGCTTAGCCTGCATCAAGGTACTACCTTCAGTTTCATCAGTTATCCAAGTGCCCATTCTAGGTCCTATCAATTCTCCCCCTGTCCCAATCACCTGCCTCGGCTCCATCCTGTATCAGAACTATAACTCCACGTGTAAGAGAAACCCCATTTCCCTAGGAGGCTCCAAGAATTCAGCCACCCCGTTACCTGTGAAGGTCTCCGTGCACGGTGTGATGCCTGCCAGCCGCTTGGAGGTGCCAAAATCAGAGATCTTGAGCAGCCCACTGAAGGTGTTGATCAGCACATTGTCACCCTGATTGAGTGGATGTTGTGCTTTGTGGGCTGGCCCTTGAAACAGACCCCTCTCCCAGGACCCCCATCACTTGGGGGTCCCAGCCTGGCCAAGCCTCTCTCAACTCCCCCCCCCTGCCCTTCCACATAGATGCCCCCAGTGGAAATTGGTGCCACCCTGTCTCACTGGGGTCAGTCATGGATCTGACCTTGATGTCCCGGTGCACAATGCGGTTGTCATGCAGGTAGCTGAGTCCCTGTAAGATCTGCCGTGTGTAGAAACTAATAGTACTCTCGTTGTCCTTCAGAGGTCCCCACACAGACCGCAGCAAGGAGGACAGGCTACCTGGGCAGATACAATCCAAGTTCCTCCACAGAATCCACTCACTCCACCCACATCTTTCTGTTCCCAGGCCCTGACACACCCAGACACGCAGCTAATTCTGAGAGACACCACCCACGCACGCACCCTAGGGCTCATTCTCCCCCCAGGGCTCTCCACCCCCTGCCTGGCGCCATTCCCAAGCCCCACACCTCCAGGTTTCACTCCCGTCCCACCTCCAGGCACTTCTTCCATGAAGATCTTCAGGTATCTGCCCTGGCTGGCTGAACCCAGGTAGCGCACGATGTTCTTATGGCGCAGGCGTTTGTGGAGAGCGATCTCTTCATGCAGGGGCTGAGAGAACCTGGGGAGGTAGGGGAGAGAGGATGATTTGGACTGGGTTACCGGTTGCTTATGCCTGTAGTCCTAGTTACTCAGAAGGCTGAGATCTGAGGATCCCAGTTCAAAGCCAGCCTGGGCAAGAAAGCCTGTAAGAATCTTACCTCCAGTTAACCAACAAAAAGACCAAAGTAAATGGAGCCGTGACGCAAGTGGCAGAGCCTTGAGCAAAAAAGCTAAGGGGTGGTGCCCAGGCCCTGAGTTCAAGCCCCAGAACCAACGCTTGCAGAGAGAGAGAGAGGGAGAGAGAGAGAGATTTGGGCAGAGATGCTCCTCCTAATCCTATTCCTGCAAGGTAAACCCCCTGGGCCCACAAGCCCTTCTAACCTCACCCTTCCCTATAACCCCGCCCACAGACCACCCCAGATTTAGCCCCACCCACCACAGCTCTACTGTCAAGCCATGGGCCTCAGGTTACATCCCCCACAGGATCTAGCCAGACCTCCCCTGGCTTTCCACCACTGATCATTAGGAATCCATCTATAGGTCCCTTCCTCTGGGTCTGTTGATGCGCACCCTCTTGAACCCCTGAATACACATGGCCCAACACACCAACCTGCTGTCCCGTTCTGGGATTTCCTTGATGGCAATTCGGACTTTGGTGTGCCGATCGCGTCCTGCGTACACCACCCCATACGTGCCTTTGCCCAGCACCAGCCGCTCACCAGTCTCCAAATATTCATAATCAAACTACAGGGTGACGGACAGCAGGGCTCAGCAGAGCCCAGAGTCGTTCCCTTCACTCTCTTCTAGGCCCCCCTGGAGTCCATGTCCACGTCCTTACCTCTAGCACCTCTCCCACGCCCACCGCCTCCTCCGGGCGGGCTGTGGACTCTGGATTTGTCACCAAGGCCTGAATCAGGCTGCAGAACCTGAGGGGTGGGGGGTCAGGCAGGCAGGAGGGGCATCTTGGACAGGAGCCTACCCAGGAGCTCCAGGGGGATGTTAACTCTCCCTTTCTCTCATTTCTCCCCAGCACCCCCACCCCCCACGAAGTCCCCCAACCCCAAAAGGCCGCGCACCACTGGCAGCGCTCCACGCTGGGAAAGCACAACTGGATGTCCTGGGCAGGAGGAAGCGCGTAGAGGAAGCAGCAGCGCTCATCCCGCTTGGAGACGCTGGGGAAGGGTGGATGGAGACACCAGTGAGCCTCAGCCCTGGGGACAGTGGCCCAGCCAGTCCACAGGTCCTGCCTCTCACCTGACACCGCAAATGGAGCCCACAGGGAGCGTCCAGGTAGAGAGATCCTTCTGTGAGAAGAAAGAAGGCTTTTAGATGGGCACCGGCTCCTGCTTGTAATCCTTGCTATTCAGGAAGCATGAGTTCTGAGGGTTGGGGTTGGAAGCTAACTAAAGCAGGGAAGTCTGTGAGACTCTTTTTTTTTTTTTTGCCAGTCATGGGGCCTGAACTCTGGGCCTGGGCGCTGTCCCTCAGCTCTTCAGCTCAAGGCTAGTGCTCTACCACTTGAGCCACAGCGCCACTTCTGGCTTTTTCTGCTTATGTGGTGCTGAGGAATCGAACCCAGGGTCTCATGCATGCAAGGCAAGCGCTCTACCACTGAGCCACCTTCCCAGCCCGTCTGTGAGACTCTTATCTCCCAATTAACCAGCAAAATGTCAAAAGTGGAGCTGTGGCTTCAGTGTCAGAGTGCCAGCCTTGAGGAAAAGTTAAGATACAGTGCCCAGGTCCTGAGTTCAAGCCTTAGTACTACCATGTTCCCTCTCTCTCTCTCTCTCTCTCACACACACACACACACACACACACACACACACACACACGAAGGAGGAAGAGGAGGAAAAGGAGGAGGAGGGAGGAGGAGGAAAGAAGAGGAAGAGGGAGGAGGAGGAGGAGGAAAAAAAGAGGTCTCAGGGGAGGGTGCTTGGAGATGGGGGAAAAGGCCCAAAGGAAGAAGCACATAGCAGTGCAATTCACCTGGGTCTCTGTCTCCAGAAGACTTAGGGTCACTGCACTCACTGGATCAGTACCCTGAACTTGAAGCCTTGCGGGCAGCAGTACTTTGTTCAATTCCAGAACCAGCACCTGGGAGCCGTGGGGAGGAAGATCAGTCAGAAGAGGCTCACCCCTTTTCGGGGTTTTCCCTACCCACAGGCCTCACCAGATACTGGTCTTCCTGGGGAGAGTCTCTCTGGAAAGGCTGGCAGGACTGTAGCAAGAAGTGGAGCCAGAAGTGAGCGTGCAGCAGGGTTCCCCCCGAGGGCTCTGGGGTGGGTCTGAAGTGCTGGTAGAGCAGGAAGGTTTCCATCACTGACACCAGGTACCTGTAGGTACCACCTTGTCCTTAGCTCAACCCAGCTGGCACGCCCAGGCTGGATGTCAGTAAGACATGGGTGTGGGGTGACATGGGCACTGGGCTGGAAGTGGGGAAGTTAAGGTTTGGGGTTCAGTGCCAGTGGATATGGGTGCAGAAGCCAATAGCCCAGGCTGGGAATGTAGAAGGGGCCACTTACCATATGGGGGCATTGAGCTTGTACAGCTGCTCTGCAGCCAGCACCACCTGGATGGGGTCATTCGCAAGGATCTGGGCTCCCAGGTAGAAACCTACATCCCAGTAATACTGCATCTTCTCCACGCAGCCTTTGCGGGCCAGCAGGCAGCCCAGCTTCATGCCTGAGGGAGCAGGACACGAGGTACAGTGAGCTCAAGCAGGGGTGGGTAAGGCCCAAGTGTAGGTCTCATCATGTGTATGGGCCTGAGCATAGCTAGGAACACAGATCTGGGTGTGGCAAGCTCACAGGTGGGTGAGGGCATGGCTCAAGTGGCAGAACGCATACCTAGGAAGCATAGCAAGCATGAAGCCCTGAGTTCAAAATCCTATACCACTAAGTACAGACAGGTGAGCTTGGATGCTAGTGGATTCAGAATTCAGTGTATAAATGAACACCAGCAGGAATCTGACAACAATTTTGGCTCAAGGTCTCCTGAGGGCCCAGGGTGGGCATAAGAAAAGCTCAGTACAAGTATAAGTGAGTATAAGGATGAACTCTAGCTGGGCACTGGTGACTCACACCTGTAATCCTAGCTACTCAGGAGGCTGAGGATTGCAGTTCAAAGCCAGCCCAGGCAGGAAAGTCTGTGAGACTCTTCTCTCCAATAAACCACCAGAAAACCAGAAGTGGTGCAGTGGCTCAAGTGGTAGAGGGCTTGCCTTGAGCTAAAGAGCTGAGGAACAGCGCTCAGGCCCAGAGTTCAAGCCCCAGGACTGACAAAAAACAAACAAAAAAAAAAGGATGAACTCAGTTCCTGCCTCTCTCCAGGTCCTTCTGGACCTTGGCTGGAGCTGGGGGGAGCTGGCTCACCTATCAACTGGAGCTCCTCGGAATCCTCAAAGTGCTGGCCAGCTGCGATGAGGAGCACGGCTGCGTTGATGCCCGAGTGCAGGCTGGGCTCCACATCGAAGGCCTTGCGATACCTGGGGGTAGGATTGAGTGGGCGGGTGCCCACATAAGCTCCGCCCCTTATCCCACTGGCTCAGTCCTCCACTCACTCTCTTGTACCCCTTACCAATGATAGGCCTGCTCCAGATGTCCAACCTCCCGGAATCCAGAGCTGAAGAACATGTCCTTGTAGACACGGCCACACATGCAGTACAGATCGGGCGCCACAGGGCCCTCGAACTGGACCAGCGGCAGCAGCACAGCCAGTGCTTTCTCCCGGTCCCCAGGCTTGTTCCTCCTAAGGACAGGGGGAAAAAGCACTGAAGATCATCCTGATGGCTCTGACCCAATCAAGCTAAGAGCCCTAACAAGCAGGAGCTTTTTAGGGTCCTGACACTGACCCCTCCCCCAGATGATCTAGACTCTTGTCAACACTGACCTCTGGGTCAGTAGTGACAGAGGATCGAAGTGCTTCCGAGCTGCAAGAGCAGCTGTGACCACATGGAAGCTGCTATCACCTCTCTTGTCCCTGCCAGGTAGCAGTAACCCAGAACAGAAGAGACCTTTTGGGTCAGATCCCAGATCAACAAGTTCCTTGAAGCATAGTGATCCCAGACAGCAGGGACCCAGGCCACAGAGCCCCCCCCCCCTCCATGGCTCTCACTCAGCCTTGCTCCACACTCACCGGTTGAGGGCAAATGTGTAGTGGAAGCAGACATTGTGCTGCTCGGCCACATCATAGGTGGGCAAGGCCTGCAGCGTCTCCACCAGCTCAATGATGGCCGAGTAGTCCTGTGTGAAGGAACCGGCATGAGGAGCCCTCAACCTGGAGGAATCCCGGGACAGGATTCCTGCCCAGATTCTGCACACCTCCATCAGGCCCAGCAGACCACACCTTATGTGGAAAATCCATTGTGTGCCCACACTGCTGGGTTCCCTACCTCACCACAAAGTGGAGGCGTGGCTAAAGTGGTAGAGCACCAGGCTTGAGAGAGAAAAACAAACAAACAAATAAAAAAAGCCAAGCAGCCAGGTGGCAGTGGCTCACACCTGTAATCTCAGCGAGGCAGTAGGCTCAGATCTGAAAATCGCAGATAGAAGCCAATCTGGACATGAAAGTCCATAGGACTCTTCTCTCCAATTAATCACCAAAAAAAAAAAAAAAAAGAAATAGAGCTGTGTGGCTCAAGTGGTAGAGCGTTAGTTTTGAGCAAAAGAAGCTTAGGGAATTCAAGCCCCAGGACACACACACACACACACACACACACACACACAGAAAGCCAAAGTGGAAAAATGGTTGGGAGGCCCTGAGTTCAAGCCCCAGTATTGGCATAAAAAAAGAAAAGAAAGAATCCCAACCTAACACCTGTCCTGGGAGGCAATGGTATCATCATTCCCTACTGCAAGTAAGGAAACTGAGGCGCAGAGAGCTTAGACAATTTGCTCAAAGCTAGCAGTGACCAAATGGCCCAGCCGGTCCCCAGCAATGCCACTCACCTGCACATCACGGTACGACAGCAAGAGGTTCATGATGATGTCGGGGGTCAGCAATTCCACGCTGTCCAGTCTCCTCTGCAGGCGAGCCAGCTCCTGCCTCAGCTGCTGCCCACTGAACCGCTCCCGGGCCTGCCGGATACTCTGCCGAATGGTCTCCCGGAAATAGCCACTGATGACCAGGCCAGGAGAGAGAAAGAACATGGTAGGCGTGTCCCTCATCCCGTGCCCACTATACCTATATCAGTCTCTTCCCAGTAGGCCCCTATTACCAAGAGTCTGTTGGTGTGGCCTCCAACAGGCGGGCAAACCGGCCTACCAGTGGTGTGAGCAGAGCCTCAGTGCCCGCCCCAGCCTGTACCAGTCCATCAGCCATGCCCCTCAGGAGGCCTGCATCACCACACAACACACGACCAGCGGCCGTCACCACATAGGGGATCAATGTGTAGCTGCCAATGCAATCCTGGTGGGAGGAAGGCGGGAGTTGGTAGAGGTCATCTCAGGGTTAGAGAGGGGCAGGAAGAGGTCAGCAAGGACTGGAATAACAGGAATGGGCCACACTTCATCAAAGGGGGCCTGCAGAGAACTGGGGGTTACATGGAGCCTTAAGAGGTCAGAGGTAATGGAAACCAAGAATATTAGTGGAGGTCAGAGGTCAAAGGGCACACAGGAATGAGAAATGGATTCTGCTCACCGAATTCTTCTGGAAAACATCCTCCTGCAGAAGGAAGATAGTGAGATGTTAGCGTAGGCCTCACGCCAACTCTCACCTGTTCCCACCAGCCCCCTTGGCCACCTACCCGCAGGGCCTGCAGGTCAGGGAGGTCAGCTTGGGAGCAGAGGAGTACGTTGTTGGTCATGCTGAAGCTCTCACGCACACCAAGGTGGTAGAACAGGGAGGGCTGTGCCAGGGAGCTGCTCACCTCCAGCACCACCACGTCTGTGGGTACAGGGGTACAAGCCCTGAGCCCTGAAGCCCAGGGAAAGAAGCCTGGGGGTACAGCCTGGCTCCACGTGCCTTGCTGTGGGACTCCAGCCAGGTCCATTTTGCTCTGGGCCTGTTTCCCCATTTTTGGGGCTCCCCAGCATTTCACTGGGGAGGGAGAGGGAGGGGTGAATCTTTTGCACGGTGTAGAAGAGGAACTGGGCGCACTGGCCTGGGGCCCTGCCTTTCTTGTGCAGAGTCTGTGAGCAGCGTGATTGGGGGTCAGACGGTGATCCAGAGCTTGTCCCAAGGCTGTGTGGGCAGCAGGAGCCGTGCGATCACACCCCCTCCCCCGGTGTTCAACCTAGACACCATCATCACAGTGTGTAGACCCTCTGTACCTGCACCTGTGTCATTCACTATGTCCAACTGTATCTCTGTGTGACAAGATCTGCTAAGTGCCTCTGTGACTCGACATAGATGTGATTTGAGTCATTCTAAGACCACGTCTCTCTGCGTCCTCATCGTCGCGTCGACCTTCATTTGTAGGCAGTAATTTCATGTGCATCCAGGAAACGCAGGTTCCCGGACTCCGTGCACAAATAAGAAGCGGAGGCAGGGCATCCGGGTTGGCGGGAGGGAGAGGTGACACTGGCCTTGGGGTGTCGCCCGGGACCGCTCCCGGTCTCCAGCGCCTGGGCAGCCGCTTCTCCGAAGCTGTTTCCTCCCTCGGGGCCCAGGCCCGGTGGGTCTCTGCGCTTCCCTTCCCGCCTCTCTAGCCCGATCCTTGGGTGCAGTAATACCGGGATCTCTAAACCCAGCTCTACAGGAATGGGCCCCCACCCCGCTCGCGGGCCTCCCTTGCGTAGCCCTAGGTAAGATGGCCCATGCTGCGCTCCAGTCCCAGCGCAGGGCCACACGCCTTCCTTCCTTGACCACGCCCCCGACGTCTAAGCCCCGCCCCATCTTTGGCACCGCCCCTTAGGAAGAGTGTTTAAATTCCACTCCATACCCCAGAGCCAGGCCTAGTCCCCTCAATCTACTTTTGGGCCTGAGCACACTCCAGAGGCCCCTCAATCGCACAGTCATCACAGCCCCGTCTCCGGTCTTTTAACTTTAATCCCGAGCCCCTAGGCCCGGTATCCACCTCCACCCAGTCCTGGCCCCGCCCATCGCTCCGCCCATCGCTCCGCCCCCTCGCCCACGCCCCGCCCCGGGCGCCTACCCGCGTTGTAGAAGGAGTCCAGCGCCGCGGTGTCGCCCAGCGCCAGGGTTCCGAAAGGCAGGCTGTGCAGCCGGGGCGCTGGCCGGGGCCCCGGGAGCTGCGCGCAGGCCTCGCGCAGGCAGCGCAGGGGCAGCGGCTCCACCTCGGTTCCCGCCCCAGGCTCCACCCCGGGCTGCGGCTCTCGGGTCAGCACATAGACCACGCTGAGCGGCCGGCTCCGCGCGCAGCCCCGGCCCGGGGACGCAGCCAGCGGCCGGCCCCGGCTCAGCGCCTCGGCCAGCGGGTCCTGCCAGCAACTGCCCGCGCGCTCCAAGGTCCCAGCCCGGGGACACGGCCCCTCCATGCGGGGACGCTTCGGCGCGAGGAACGGGGACGGTGGCCGATCCGGGGGTCAAGTGAAGAGCTGAGAATCCCTTAGGAGATCGGGGGATCCAGACGCCGACCGGACGTCCCGTTCCAGAAATCCAGAGTAGAGAGACAAGGAAAAAACCTGAGCGCAGATGTGCAAGGTCCTGACGGTGGGGAATCCGGAACTGGGCTCCAAGAGTCTGGGGTACCGGTGATCTGAGGCCCGGGGTCACGGGGGAGCCCTGGGGTCCGGCCGGCAGCGCCTGCCACCCCGACTTCTGTGGGGAGCGCCGGCACTCGGTCCTCCCCTCCCGGGCAGGCCCGGCCCAGCCCTTTCCCGAAGTGGGAAAGCTCCACCCTCGACCCTGGGGCAGTGCCGCTCCCCGGCGGCTGGGGACTCGCCTCTCCCTCGCTCCTCTCCCGCCGGAGCCTCCGACAATGGCCTCTTCCGGAACAGCCTGTGCCCGTCCGTGCACGCCGCCGGGGACTGCTCGCTGCAGATGCTCGTCCCACGTGTGCCCGGGCCGCGGCTGGGAACAAGCCCAGATCCACTGAATGAACTGGACCTCACAGCCCCACGAGCAGCAGCCCTCGGCCCCGGAGTGGGGCCTGCCAGAATCCCACCACAGGTCCCTGCTGACCTATGACCTCTACCCAGAACCTAACCATGAGATCTGAGAAACACTGCAAAGACTACCTACCCTTTCCCAGAAACTGCATGTGAGGAAAATGGAGGAGAAAGGAAGGAAACAGACTGCGAGGGTCACAGCCTTCCCCGGGCTTGGAGACTGTGTGTCAGAGCTGGGACAGGAGCTGGGTTTTGTGAGATCGGAGCAAGGAGGCAGAGGTTAATGCAAAGCCATTAGGTTTGAGGAGGTGGCCGGCATTTCGGTTGGGCCCACAATGGAATGTTTACAGCTGGACTTGGGTGGATTGCCCTGTCTGCACATCAAGCACATCTGCACACACCTGCGGTTTTGCCTGGTGTCTGTAGCACCTGGGACAATAAGGTGGGGGTCAATTCTTCACTCCAGCACTCTAGGTCAAGGGTGTCCCAGCCTCAGCTCCCCAAGAATCTTTCTTTCTCTCTTTCTCTTTCTTTCTTTCTTTCTTTCTTTCTTTCTTTCTTTCCTTCTTTCTTTCTTTCTTTCTGTTTTTTGTTTATCAGTCGTGGGCCTTGAACTCTGGGCCTGGGCGCTGTCCCTCAGCTCTTCAGCTCAAGGCCAGCACTCTACCCCTTGAGCCACAGTGCCACTTCCGGTTTTCTAGTGGTTAATTGGAGATAAGAGTTTCATGGAATTTCCTGGCCAGGCTGGCTTTGAACCATGATCCTCAGATCTCAGTCTCCTGAATCTCTAGGATTACAGGCATGAGCCATCGGCACCCAGCTCAAGAATCTCTAACCTCTACTATGAATTCTTGTGTAAACCTCAGCAGACCCCAAAATCAGGAACTGAGGACTTACAGAGGTTAGGTCATTTGTCCATGGCCAGTCAGCTACATTTCAGAATAGGATCCCCACAAGGACTCTTTATCTGCTTACTTCTGCTGTCGCTTAATATGATGTGGCTTTACTTCCATGTTCATTGCTGCACTGTTCACAATAGCCAAGATATGGAAACAACCCAGATGCCCGACTCTAGATGAATGGGTCCATAAAATGTGGTACCTATACACAGAAGGATTGACGATGTCCCCCCCCCCATTGTCCCAGGCCTGCCCAGGCAGGCAGGGCAGTCCACCTAAGCCCAACTGTAAACATCCCATTGTGGACCCAACTGAAAGGCCCCCACCTTCCTTGACCTAGGGGCTTCTCATTAACCTCTGCCTCCTTGATCAGATCTCCTATAAAACCCCAGATCCTGCCCCAACTCGGGGGCACAACCTCCAAACTGGAAGGAAGGTCTGTGCCCCTCGATGTTCTGCAATAAACAGTCCTCGCCTGTTGATGATCGAGTCCAGCCCTTTTCCATTCTCCTCCATTCTTCTGACATACACAATGGAATATTATGCAACCATTAGAAAGAACAAAATAATGGCATTTGCAAGGAAAATTGATGGAACTAGAACAAATCATGTTGAGCAAAATAAGCCAAGATCAGAGAGACAAATGGCACATATTAAATTCAAAATGCAACAAGATATGACAAAGTACATAGGACTCAAGAGACAAAGGACCTCTTCTTAATTTTTTGTATTTTTAGATGATTCCACCTATGGTACATACATGTGCACATCTGAGGAAAGCTAGGATGGCACAAAGTCAGACGGAAACAGGTGAAAAATACAGCAAAAGTGTGCAAGAGCTGCACTGGAGACTGATGAAAGTGAACTGAGCAACTCGGGCAGCGATGGGAGGAGGGACTGAGAGAGAAAGAGGGAACAGCTCACACTACGCAAAAGGAAAGAAATGTACACATCACCCGATTTGGAAGAAAGAGTTGTATTGTCAAAGCCTGGAGAGTTCACAAGCTTTATAGGCCATGATATTGACAGCCTTGTAAAAATGTGTTTGTGACGTTAGCTAAGCATCACCATCCCACAATACGTAATCCCACAATTTATGTAATCACTTGAAAAATATGACGTGGCTTTGGAGATATAATATGCCTCATAAATGCTAGCCAGTGGCTTTTTTTGTTGGGAAAATGGAAGGTCTGTGCCTTTGCTATTCCTCAATAAACAGTCCTTACTGTTGACAATCAATTCCGGGCTATTCCTTTTCCATTCTCTCCCATTTTCCCAACACTTTCACCTCATGGGGGTGAAAAGTGCCCATTTTTTATTTGATCTCTGGTTCAAGACAGCATTTTTTGTTGTCAATTGTGGGGTTTGAACTCAGGGCCTGGGCACTGTTGTGGAGCACATGGGCAGCAAAGATGGCGCTGGGAGGGGGTTGAGTGGGCAGAGCCTACTTTACTGTAGAGCACATGGGCAGCCAAGATGGCGCTGGGGGAGGGTTGAGTGGGCAGAGCCCAATTGATCTGCCGATAGGTGCCTAACCAGCCCCTGAAGGCTCAGGTGAATGATAGGGTGTGACCTTGACAGTGATTGGTTCCTCTTCCTCCCTTACCATACCACCCACCCTTTTTGTCTTTAAAAAGGGGCTGCTCTCTGTTAATAAACGAGTTTTCTACCTGCTGGATTTGGCTTCTTGCTGTGTCTGATTGTCTCCTGGGCTGAGGGAGGCTAGGGAACGGGCGAGCGCCGCACTTACCTTTCCTTGGACCCCGTCCGTCTTTTGTGGGAGGGACAAAGACCCAACACACTGTCTCTGAGCTCTTTTGCTCAAGGCTAGCATTCTACCATTTTGATCCACAGCACCACTTCTGGTTTTCTGGTGGTTAGTTGGAGATTAGAGTCTCACCAACTTTCCAGGGTGGAGGGGTGGCCTTAAACTGCAATCCTCATATCTCAGCCTCCAGTGTAGCTAGGATTACAGGCATGAGCCACCAGGACCTGGCTCAAGCCAGCTTTTTACTGGACAGAAAAGAAGCCGTAAGGGATGAGAACTTGGATGTAACCAAGGCTAGGGTAGAAAACAGCTCACCAGAAACTGCAAAGGAACAGAGGAGGTAAGAAAGCTGTGCAATTCCCACTACAAAATGATTTGCTAAGCCAGGTGCTAGTGGCTCAAGTCTAGCTATTCAGGAGGCTGAGATGTGAGGATCATGGTTCAAAGCCAGCCTGGGCAGGAAATTCTGTGAGTCTCTTATCTCCAATGAGCCACCAGAAAACCGGAAGTGGCGCTGTGGCTCAATTGGTAGATCACTCACCTTGAGCTGAAGATCCAAGGGACAGCACACAGGCCCAGAATTCAAGCCCCATGACTGACAAAAGACAAAAAAGAAGAAAGAAAGAAAGAAAGACTCAATGATTTGCAGCACTGGTCAATCATCGCTGGGCTCCACCTGTAATCTTAGCTATTCAGAAGACTGAGATCTCAGTATCCTGGTTCAAAGCCAGATGAATCCAAGAGACTCGTCATCTTCACTTACCTCCCAAAAGAGCTGGAAGTGAAGCTGTGTCTCATGTGGCAGAGTGCCAGCCTTGAAAAAAAAAAAAAAGGCCAGGGACAGCACCCAGGCCCTGAGTTCAAGCCCCAGTCTAGGCACAAAATAAGTAGATTCTTTTAAAATGAGTATCTAAATAATAAAAAAAAATTCTTTGTAAAATGGAACTTAAACTTACATGCCTCTGCCCATAGGGCTTTCCCCAGTAACTAGAAGAATACTGAAAACCAGACAAAGGGTTAAAATTCTTTATTTTAAAATGTGGACAGGGAAGCAGAGGTGGGTGGAATGGGGAAGTGGCTGTGGTTCCTGAAGCTGTACAACAAAGTGAAGGGTACTGTTTTCTAGGTTGACCTAGCGAAGGGTGGGGTTTTCTAGGTTGGCTTAGCAAAGGGTACTGTTTTCTAGGTTGACCTAACGAAGCATCATCTGAACTCTACGGTAGGGGTGGCCCACACCTCGGCCTGAGGCCCAGTCAATGCCATACTTGTGGGCAGTGGCTTCAGACATGGCATAGCGCCCATTGAGGTTGGACCGGTAGCAGGAAGCGTACCACCAGGCACCATGGACTGTCACTGCACAGTTGGACTTGCTTAGGTCATGGTCAGCATCATAGGTGGAAAAGGGCTTCCCGCTGTGGAAGCTCAGAGAGTCCCCTGCACAGAGAAAACAGAAGGCATCTGGGTGTTCCACACAATGCCTGGATCCTTGGAGATGCTGCTCCAAGACCACCTCATATCAACTCTGAGGTGGACATTAGACAACATTTTCAGCAAGTCCCAGGGTGGTAGGACTTGAACTCAGGACCATCTTGCTCCAGGGTGCCGGCTCTTTCCCCTTCAGAGTCCCCATCTTCCCCTCCCACCTCTATCTCTCCTCAGCGCTGGTCAGCAGCCTGAGCAACTCTACCAGGGAGAGCTGGAGGAACACCTCTTAGTGCCTGGGAGGAAAAGGAGTGTCCCCAGTGTGTCCCCCCATAACA